GTGCCGGTGGTTAATTTAGAATCAAATTAGTCTCTATAACTGTACAATCTGTAATTATACCTAACAAAAATAACTGAGGAGTAAACTTTATCCTCTTTTAACACTGGAAGTTTTTAAGAAGATATTAGATAACCATTTGTCTGAAGTGGTGTAGCATCTCTGCTTGAGCAGAAGCTGGACTAGAAGACATCTAAGGTCCCTTCCAATCTCATTATTCTATGTTCTATCATTATCTGAGTAAATTAACATAAATTATGATAAATTGGAATGGGTGCGCCATCACTGGAGGCTTTTAAGAAGAGACTGGAATGGAAGAGATTGGAATTGAAGAGAGAGCCATTTGTCTGAAATGGTATTGGGTCTCCTGTTTGAGCAGGGAGGTTGAACTAGAAGACCGCCAAGGTCCCTTCCAACTCTATTATTCTACATTCTGAATCTCCTTGTGCCGATTGTGGTGATGATAATTGCCAATTTTGGCACGATGTCTATTCCCCTTTGGAGAACGAAGGTTTTTGCAGAATTGCCTTGCGCTAGCCCACCGCGTTAGCATGGAATGATAGCTAACCGCTTTCCTTCTGTGTCCCCGGCAGGTCTGGCTCGAAAGCTCACATGGAGAGGCTGGTGGAAGTCACCAAAGAGATAGAAACTACGGACACTTACCAGCTGCGCGATACGGAGCTGATCTACGGAGCCAAGCACGCATGGCGCAATGCCTCTCGTTGCGTGGGGAGAATCCAGTGGTCCAAACTGCAGGTGAGGGACTCACAGTGTTGGGCATGGCCAGCAGGCCACCTGCCTACATGCTTATATGTACTTTGGGCAAGTACAGATTATTCTTAGCAGGTATGATGAGTATGCTGGGCTGGCACACGGTTGAGAAGACTGCGGGGAAGCCGAAGGCTCCAGCCAAGCCCTCCCAGAAGATTTGGGGGGGATCTGATTCAAAGCAAGCCGTCCAAATAATTTTAAGTTCAGGATTTCGCAAGCACCTACGCCCGCCCCTTATGTTCCTTTTCATTAAACCGAAAAGGAAGCAAAATCTCCCTGGAAGGGGAGGCATGTCGGAGTGGCAATCATCCTTTTCTGTGCAAGTGTTTAATCCCCAATAAATAAGTGCTTCCAGAGATTTGCATGCGAAAACAGTGCCTCTCCCCCTACCTGGATAAGGGAGCTCATTTTAAGCCTGCTTAAGAGTTTACGAGGGTTTACTTCGCTGAGCCAGCTCCAGATGTGAGGTGGAAGGCCTGTCAAATTCTTTCCTCCTCTTACACGGTTTTTCTTAATTGGCCCTTCAGGATCTTAAAAACTTTTTGGGGTCTAACCCAGCCTTCTTCCACATCTGCAGAAATTAAATCTTTCTGCTACGGGACATGAGAGCCACTCCTATTTAAAATGTTACAGTTTAATGCATACACTTAGACACTTATCTTTTTTTTCTCCAAGAGCAAACCTGCATCTAAATGTGTTTTTTTTGGGGGGGGGGGTATTTTTTGTTCTCTAGATACAATAATAGGTTCACATAGTTGTTATTCTTTTTTACATTTGTCATTTTTATACATTTGTTGTTCCATTTACAAGGTTATAACATACCATTTGTTTTGTTTGCCATCCCTCGCCTGTTTTGTCACCACTTTCTTTTCTCTTTCTTTTCTCCCTCCCTCCCTTCTCTATTTTCTTCCTTCCTCCTCCCTTTCCCTTCCTTTTTCCCTTACCTCTGCCCTATCCCACTTCCCCTTCCTACCGTCTCTCCTCCTCCCTTCCATCTTCCTCTCCTTACCTCTATCTTCCTCCCCTCCTCTTCCTCTCCTCTCCTCCTCTCTTCCTTTCTTTTTCTACTGTTGTAGGTTCTTTCTTTTTTCCCTCCCTCCCTTCTCTCCTTTCTTCCTTCCTCTCTCCTTTCCCTTCCTTCTTCCCTTACCTCTTCCCTATTCCTCTCTTCTTCTTCCCCTTCCTCCCGTCTCTCCTTCTCCCTTCCATCTTCTTCTCCTTACCTCTATCTTCCTCCCCTCCTCTTCCTCTCCTCCCCTCCTCTCTTCCTTTCTTTTTCTATTGTTGTGGCTCCTTTCTTTTCTCCCTCCCTCCCTTCTCTATTTTCTTCCTTCCTTCTTCCCTTACCTCTGCCCTATCCCTCTTCCCCTTCCTTCTCCCTTCCATCTTCCTCTCCTTACCTCTATCTTCCTCCCCTCCTCTTCCTCTCATCCCCTCTCCTCCTCTCTTCCTTTCTTTTTCTATTGTTGTAGGTTCTTTCTTTTCTCCCTCCCTCCCTTCTTTCCTTTCTTCTTTCCTCTTCTCCTTTCCCTTCCTTCTTCCCTTAT